CTTCTCTTTTACAGCATGCTATTGTTTTCTTCCCTCTTTCTGGTTTTCACACCCCACCCTCCATTCTTCCATACCTCCTCTGCAAGATGTGACATCGTTTTGACCACCAGAGCCACAGTGCTTGCCGCATGATGACGACGGTGGTGGGTATTTGTTCCATTTAGAGTTGAAACAGGGCCAGAGGAACATCCAAGTGACAGCAGCCACACACAGCAAGGCGAAATGCAATCCTGCTCGATTGAACAATCATATAAGTGATGACAAAGTGTTTTATGACTATGCAGGCTTTGTTGCACTTGGGTTTAGCCCACTAAGGTCTTATGCAGGCAGCCTCACGTGACCTTGGCCCATTTTCACCTCAAATCCAGCTTCCAGAAGTGCTGTCAAGCCTCTTATAACTTATTAAAAAAAAAAAGCAAAAACTGAATGAAAGTTGCAAAAAATGCCCACAGTATGAAGATGAAAAAAAAAAAAAAGAATTTATTTTAATCATTTGAAAATAAAAATAAATTAAATCAGTTAATTATTAATGTTAATAATAATATTAACAAAAATAATATTTAAAAATATTGACATTGCTTTAAATGGGTCAAGTGAAAAATTAGTTGATTCTGACTAACTTAAACACATCTGATTGGCCATTGCATATCACTGTTCATGGAAAGCGATATACATATGCACAGAAGCATGAAAGCACCTGCCTATCAGCGAGTACTGAATTGAGTCTGTACTTGGTAATATCAGTGCTGCAGAAAGGCCGGTATTATGTTTTTAAAATTTCAGTATCGACTTGGTACAGAAGTATCAATAGCCTACTTTTCACAACAATCAAAATTATTTGAAAAATTAAGTTACTGAATTACTGAGATACTTCTCTTAAAGTTGACCACTCTATAGAACGTTGGGAAACCCATCAATGCTCAGCTCACACTGTCAAAAGTGATGCACCGATCTTGATTTTTCATGGCCAGTTCTGTTTGCACCAAATGGGCCAATTCTGATACAGATTTGTTCATATTTATTTTATTTCTTTTAAGCAAGAGACAAAATAGAATGAAAATATGACTACATGAAGAGAAAATACCATCTAAACTTTTCTGAAGACAGTCAGATCCCCTCAGAGATACATTCATATAAACCCCCACCCCCAAATCAATTTTTAGATTTTCTTTCAATATTTCGATCATCGTGAACAGTGAGCTGCTCTGCCTGCTACAGTATTTTCCTCTCTTTGTGTTCATCTTCAGCGTCTTCTCTGGCCTTTGTTAATGGCCGTTTACAGACTTCCTAATATTTCCACACAAATTACATTTTGGAAAATGCTTGCAATACAGTATGTGTGCAAGTCCTGAACAGAGATCGGCTGAAATAAAACAAAAGAGCTGCCGATCGCACATTTGGAGCAAAAACAGGTCGGTCCCAATTTATGGCAGTTCCAACGTTTTCTAACAATAATTGTTTCGGGCCAGTGGTGAACGGTTCGTTCTTGGGTAAAGGAAAACAGAATGATATTTTTTTAAATAACTTTTCAGGACATTTTACATTTTCTCAAATTTTCCATGTGTTTTCCAGGATTGGAAATTTAGTCATCAATTTTCCAGGTTTTCCAGATGCATGGGAACCTTTTTTGCATCTTCATACTTTTCAGGCCTGTTTTTGCAACTTTTCATCCTTTGGAATATTGTGGCACATGGACTATTCGGATTTGCCTTAGTTGACACTCGATAAGACAATTTGCTTTTTTTTAAGCCAAATTATCCTTGTTGCTTAAAGTATAGATAAGGGGGCTTCCAAATGTTTCGTAGGACGACGGAAACCAGACAGTGTTTTGCAGGTTAAAATGCAACATTGCACGCAGCTGACTCCAGCAGCATAGAGTGTGAGCGTCCCATGGTGCGTGCTACCATCTGTCCATCAGCGGCTTCCCTTTGAGTGTAGGATACCCAGTGGTATTCCAGAGGTCTGGACCCACATTAGCACAACATCAAACAGGCTCCCTCCTACACATGCAGCACTGCATGCGCTCCTGCTTATCTTATCTGAGACGGAAGGAGGAAGTCACCCCTCAGGTCCAACCCTGTAGAATTAAGCTTGACCTTTCTCATGCAAAGCTGAGAGAACTTGGAAAGGTCTTCTGCCCCTGCGACTGGGATTGTGTCCAGTGATACTGCTTTAATGGGGCACCTGCTGTGCTATTGTTAAAAATAAAGATAGGTATGACAGACATTGCCTGATATCTTTAATAAGGAATGTGTTCTAATTCCATTTTTATGACAGCACTGTAGTGTTGACAGTTATGTTTAAGGGGGTAAAAAGTGTTTCTTTAGTTTTATTAGTAGCACATAGAGCACAAAGTACTTTCAAACGCAGGGGTTCCCAACCAGGGCTCACAACCCCCTAGAGATCCTAGAGTATGCTTATGCATGTGTGTGTATATATATATATATATATATCAGTATGTATATATATATATATATATATATATATACACACACACACATTAATTAATATTTCATTATAAATAGTTCATTTTATTTTAATCATTTGTGCGCTTGTGTGTGTGTATATATATATAATTTTTATAATTTATATAATTATAATTTATTGTAATTTTATCTTAATTTCTTTGTTGTTTCATCATGGAACTCTAAGGGGGCTGTATGTAATGTAAAAATAAAAATAATTTATTCTTATGTAAATTGAAATGCATAATTTAGTTTAAAATTAAAAATGTCACAGAAGTGGCTGCTTGGTCTTTACAGCTTTTTTTAATGGCTCTCTAAGCTACAGATGGCAAAAGACAATCCAGATTGGGACTTGAGGTGATGTGACGTCCCTATTTTAATTCCTCCACGAGCACCCCGGGCTGCGAGCGCAGACTGTGTTCAGTGAACCTCCTGGGGCAGGAAGGGCTAACAACCCTTGCATTGATCCAAGGACACACTCAGCCCTCTAACCTGCTGAGTGCTCAGTTCAGGAGAACAATGGAGTACAGCACACATCAATACAGCAGCAGCCTATTGAGCGCACTCCGTTTAGTAAAGCCGACTGATGAGGTTGAAGCTCCCGAGTCTCTGCAAAAGCACGACAGACACCTTTCAGTGTCTGTGTAAAAAATAAAAATAAAAAAAAATGCTTTCCCTCTCTCTGAAAAGATATACAGACTTGGGCCTCCTTGTGTTCCGTGCTCCAGCTTTGGAGCATCTTACCCTGTTACTATGAGTGAAGTTGGGCCAAAATGACTGGTATGCCTCACCTACAGTACCACTCCAAAGAGTTGGAGATTGGGATGGAGGAGGCTTTCTGGGCAGGAATGCACTGCTTGTCCCATAAGACACTAAATGATGTACAAGTGCATTTATTACAGCAGCCCCTATAAATCTGAGCCTGGCCTGAACTCCGGGGAGAGGTTAATGGATTACAAAGGGATGCGGTATCGAACCTTTGAGAAGTTTATACACCACATCAATATGTGCAAGGCTATTGATCATTTAGACCTTGACAGACAAATTAAATTCATAAACTTGATAATGCACTGGAATATTTGTATTGCTTACTACAGTGGAATGGGGCCTTTTTTACATGTTTTAAACAGTGCTGCTTTAAGATCAAGGTTTATTGACTACAATCACTTAATAGAGTCCACTGAAAACGTCAAGAATGCTGATCTAATGTGAAATTTAGAGTAAGATGAAATCCTTAGTTAATACCATGCAGACTTAATCCACATTTTCTTTTAGGCTGTTGAATATCTCATGTAACGTCCAAATTATTAAAAAAAATAAAAAAAATAAAATAATTTACATTTAATAATCATTTGTAGTTATGTAAACAGAACTGCATAATTAAAATTTCATGAATTTATTTGTATAATCTTTTTGCCTATTTTGGAACAGCACAGTACCTAATACAAAATAAATGCATGTATTATATATGAATAATTTACATTAATGAATACTATGCTTCCTTTCTTATATCTAAACATATTTTTGTTATTTTTTGTCACAATGAAACCATGATACCAAAGTTAAATTGTTACATTTATTCCTGATCAAATTAAAAATCAACAGGAAAAAAAAAAAAAGGAAATTTGTGTTAAATCAAATTTATTACAATTATGTACATTGATCTTTTCATACCAGAATTTCTCTGTGACAAATACCGGCAGGGTGTCAACAACAATATCAACAGAGCCACATACAGCAACAATGTACAGTTCATACAAACTGTTACAGATCTTTGATGTAAGCTTACTTATAAAACAGATTCAGCACACACACACACACACACACACACACACACACACTCTCTCTCTCAGCTCATGTAAATGAGACCGAATGCTTAAATCCCTAAACTGAGTTGCTGAAACTGAGCAGCAGGATGTAGATTCCTAACAAATCTGTCGTAAAAACAGTTGGAGATGAGAATGCAATATTAAAAGAGATATAGGCACTGAATAGCTTATATCATGTTTAATTCAGTAGCACTCACAGCGGCTTTACAATGATTAGCTAAAATTAGCAAACTATGTTGTTTAAAGGCCTCTGCCGCCATGCTACCAGAAACAACCTGCCAGTTGCAGGAACTCCAGAATGTGGTTTTAAGCAAAACTGATACATGCACACACACTCACACTAAAGCTCTGTCTCATTCTGAAGCCGATGGTCTATGGCGTTATTTTAATGACAAATGTCGAGAGCGCATTATTGTAGCGCGAAAGCACATTAATACAATGCGCGAGCGCGGATTTCCTTTGCTCTCGCACAAAACCGGACGCTCGCGCTCAGATACACGCTGCTCGCGCTACAATAATGCGCTCTCGACATTTGTCATTAAAATAACGCCATAATGGTCTTCCTTCCTTCCTCTCACCTCTACAGTCGGTAACTCTGCAATGACACTTCTGACACCAATAAATGCAATTTTTATTTTCAAGATTAAATGGACTTTACGGATTCCTTTAAAAGGATAAAAGGATAGCTCACCCAAATTTTTTTATTTTATTTTAAATTTCATGTAATTCCAAACAGCCTTTTTTATGGGACAAACAATGTTATATTTTGAATAGTTTTTTTGAGTAAGTTATTTATTGACAGTTCATAGTGGCCATTTGAGCTCCAAAAAAGAAAAAGAAGAAGAATATATATGCTATTCTTGTGTGGGTTAGTGTTAAGCCAACCCTAGTCTAGGAAATAAGAAGACATACACACTTCCAGACAAGCTGAGCTCTTTCATTGTGCTGCCACAGACCCACAATTCACCTGGCTGCGCTGTAATCCGGTTACTCTGAAGGTCATTTGTTAAAAGTGAAAATGTCACAATGGATCTGACACTCTAGTTCTCTCACTCCAGGATCTCTCTGGCTTTGTTTCTCATCAGCTGGCGAGTGAGTAATTTCATTAGTTAAATATTCATACGTTACTCTCCGTTTGCATCACGGGGGAATTTTTTTTTTGTCTTTTTTTTTTAATCCTCTCAGGACTTTCTCAGAGAAAAGCCCCCAAAGAGAAAAGCACAACTGTCAGCACCTCCGCTGAAGCATCCATTGTTTTACACAGTTTAATTACAAAACCCCAGCACAGTTTCATGTTAAGATTATTCACTGCAGGAGGCCTATATAATTTGGACTGGAGGGTTTGTCATGTAATATAATACAATATAACAGGCTTTCAGTATTAGATTTCCGATTTTAGCCTCCTTGACATTTCAAGCCGCATGAACTAATACATCTGTTATTTGTCGATCATTTGATTATTAACATACTTCATAAACCAAATCAGCTACCCTGCTGGAGACTGGAGAGATACGACAGAGACGAACACATTTCTCTTTCGCCTCACTGTCTGCGTTCTCATACGTGTTTTCCCTCCATCTCTTTCTTTCTCCCACAGAAATCTCAAATCCACCATCACTCTGATCACAAAATACAAGGCCTCGTCGTTACACAGACTTCTGAAGCCCGGTGTACTACACAATCTCAAAACGTCTGAAGGAGAATTGCTTCACTATGTCAGATTACAAGGTCTACAGCCGGTCCACAACAAACACGCTGATCCAACAATGGTCGGACTGTGTGAACTAGTTTACAAAACAAAAGAAATGGCATAGAAACCAGTCCAACCATCTCAGATCACAACTTTCTGATTTCTTTGGTACCTCTGATTTGTGTCTACAGTCTCTACACTGCAAATTATGACGTTTGTATTGACTCGAAGTGCTATGGTACACTTAAATGGGCTTTTTTTTTTGGAGTACTACAGTCTCTAGTAAAACAGCTAGCTAGCATTTTAAGGGAAATGTATGGATTGCATTAAAAAAAGTCATATTTCTCTTGTCGTCTTTCCAGAAATTTCTGTTGCTGTGCTTGTTCAGGCATGCAGAAGGTTTGTGCCGCCACTCTTGTTTGCACGTTGAAAGTTTGCATGTTAAAAATTCAAAAGGGTAAAGAACTGCAGTGAAAGGAACATAATCCACCTCACCTGCCGCTTTCGTACAGTGTTAATTGATGCTCACGGTAGCTGTTTTACTGCAACGAGGGTGTGATATCAGAACTTAAATGAAAGTTAAATGAACTGAAACTGAGAGAAGCGAATGGACGGATGAAGTCCGGAGTTTCTTTCTAATCGACCTCGCTCTCATTGCTCGCACCCTCTGGACGCCGCAGCTTCTCCACCTGCTCGTTTATCTGTCCGTCACCTCCTCTCCTGTCCTCCGTCTGCACGCTCAGGTGGTCTTCCTCATCCGCATGGGTCAGGTCGTCATCCTCGTCTTCATCCTCATCATCCTCTTTCTTCTCCTCCTCCCCCTGGACTTCCATACGGACCTGGTCTTTCAGGTCCAAAGGAAGAACGGAGCCCAGGCCCACGTCTCCGTTCAGGCAGTGCGAGCCGTTGCCCTCTTTGACGGGGGAGGAGTTGGTTGACTCGTTGCTGACGGGGGAGATGTCACTACTGCTGTTGGTGTGGTTGACGGAGGGCGGGTTGGACAGCGATCCGGGTTTGAGAGGGATTTGCCAGGATGGGATTTTGGGAACGGAGGGTGAAGCGGGGAACTGTCTCCTGAGAAGAAAGAGGACGTGAATAGAAAATTACATGTGTTTTCTTCAAATTGTTTGCTGAAATCTCTTACAACAGAGTACACATTGTGCCTCAGGCTTGATTCTGCCTAAAATATGCACGAGTGAGTCCAGTTATTGTGCTTTGGAAACACGAGCAGATTTGTCAGTCTGAAAGTACATGAGAGATTATGTCCATATGTGCTCCACACCTGCCATCTGATTCAAAACAAAGCATGTCCTCACAACAAAGGTAAAATAAATTCAAAAGCGACTTCAGATATGTACTGTCAAGGGTGGTTTTGTTTGAATATATGAGGCAACAAGTTGAGCAGATGGTGAGCTTGCTTCGTATTTACAGCAAAGTTTTCACATCTTGAGAAGGACAAGCAGACACAACATTCAGACACTGGAAGAAAAAGGTAATTGCAGCTTAAAATGTTTAATGAGAACGAAACAGCAGACAAACGAAAGCTTTTATCTGTGCAAATTTCAGATGTATGAGATGACTTCGATATTAATTTGCATGATACATACATAATCAAGTAAAGATTAATGAAAGTGAGGGAAGATTCATCTTGGGGCATTGAGGGAACCTGTTGGATGTATCAGGCCTCATTAACCAATAATGAGACGGTTCCAGCTACATGCCCCGATGAAGAGAACGATATGACATATAGATCAAACCATTTCAGACACATTTATCTGCCAAATCATCCCAAGGCATACTAATATCAGCTGCCCTGGGAGAGAAACAATGCTCTCCACTCATTTCCACAGTGATAATACAAAACGTGCATTTTGGAACATCTACTAAAGGCCTCTTTCAAGATGTTAAATGTTAAGTACATGTATCTTATTCGTTTCCAGCACCAATTTGAACACACTGCAAAATAAAGAACAGAAAAATGACTTGACTTGATGTCAGACTTTATTTTTGCACTAACAAAAACAAGGCTGTGTGGGAGGAAAATATAGTTTGCTCAGTATGTCAAACTGCTGTGTATCAGAAAATAGGTCCAAGGTCACATGTAATATTTATTATTTATTTTATTTTTTTGTGGAAAAGCATTTTTAATGTTTAGTGAGCGGACAGATTGACACCCAAATACACAACATTCTAAATGAACATCCTTCATTGCCACATTTTGTCCCTGTCAATTCAAATATGCCATCTATTGTTACAGATTTATAAAAAAAAAAGTGAAAAGTTACCTGCTGAGAAGAAGCCCCTTCAGAGACACAATCTCAGCCTTGAGTTCACTGATGCTCTGAGACTCCAGCATGCGGTTGGTGGCAGATGAGGCCTATAGAGACAAAGTTACAAGTGATCATCATCATCCTTTTCGTTCTGAAAACAAATCTAAAAACGCTTCTTATTTACTACTATAGGTTTTCCACACCTCAAACCATTAACCAATGATCATTCTGAACCGTCTGTAAACGTAATCATGGTTATCTTTTAAACTGTTGCTTAACTGACCTTTATCTGGGGTTTAAAAAGTTATTTATCCTCTACTGTCGTTAAAGGTGAAGATCTGCCCCAGAATGTGAAAGCTCTACCATATCAGGCCTTATTTACCAGAACCTGTTATAGTAGTATGCAGCATATGCAAAAACTTCACAAACAACTTCACAAACATTCTGTTAAAGTGTGACTTGTTCTAATTTGATTTGTCAGAGTCACTCAATGAACACAATAATTTGATGCATTCAAACTGCCAATACGAGACAATGAAAGTCTTCAAAGTCTTGATATCAAACCACAACTACACTGACGAGTCCCTGCTACTGTATCTTCTCCACCCAGAAGGTCAGGATCTTTTTAAAAAAGGCTAAGGGAATTAATCATGCCATTTTTACATATTTTTCCATATTGCAGACTGCTGATTTGAGCAGGACAGAGGTGTTTGATAAGAGGTCTCTGGCACAACAATGGCAGTATTCATTAAGTCAGGGAGGTTTTTATTAAAAGAAGCCTTATCTCCAACTGCTTGCCATGGGATGAATTGCTGAAGGGAGTGATGGCCACAATTGAAGTGGCCAGCAAACATTTGAATAGCAAATGACTTCACGGGGAAAAAAAGCCCCCAAAAAATCAATCCATCCTTTTTTTCTCCCCAAATAGACAGGAGGTTGGTAATGTCGATTTAGAAAAAGAAACCCTCTTCAAGTGAAAGAGATTTGTAGCACCTCTACATTTCAATTTCCAAATGTTCTGACAGATTAACCCGGGATCTCAAGCGGCTACACGGGGCCACTAACTCTGAACCGTCCACAAACAAACAGCCCACATCTACCCCATAATCCCATTCCACTTCTTCTGCCCAGGGGGGAAAAACGAGAGCAGGAAGAGGAAGTGAAAAAAGGGCTGGGGGGAAAAGGAAAATAAAAGTGTAATTAAGAACATCGGAGTCACCGGGGGCGGCTAGTTAGAAGGCAGAGACCCCCTATTGAGAGGAGAGGGATAACTTGGACTCTTCCACATGTAATTAAATCTAAAGTAAATTAATTGAATCACATCTGAAAAGGATCAGACTCATTTACAGCGAGGGCTGGGGAGGGATAGTGGTTTTGTCTCCTTTCTGCACCTAAAGCCCTCAGATAAGTGCACCGTTTTCGAAGAGGTCACATCTGATCCGAGCTGAGCGCATTAGGCCTGGTGAAGACACTCTTATTACAGGCCTCACCTCATTATGGCCATCTTAAGCCCACACTCCCTACGGCACCCAGTATAATAAGGCTGGAATGTACCTCTTGCTCATTTTAACTTTGTAATGGGAAAAAAAATTAATTGCTTCGGAGGCTTAGCTTACACTTCTCGGACATAAAATCTAAATAATATTTTAACAGAGGCTACAAAGCACCTCTCAGCCGGCGGTGTTTAAAGTTCCACGGTTGCAATTCTTCATTTCAGGAGCCGAACGCGCACGCACACACATATAGTGATGACTGTTTAATTGCTGCTAAAGGCCTTTCTCTGCATGTCTTTGACTGTGTGAGCAGCCATCCAGTCAGAGGGGTCAGTGCAGTGTGATCGGGGTCTGTCACCCTCTTTAGTGTGAACAAAGCTTTGCCTCAGTCTGGGTAATTATTTAAGGAGGTGGAGCGTACCATACAAGAGAGGTATATATGCATGTACTTACACCGAAACAGCAGTCAGACATGGAATACATTAAAGCAAATGTCTGCAGAACATTAACAACAGATAATGTTAAGAAGCGTTAAGAAAGGCAAGTTAAGAAACGTCTGAATGCAAACTGATTCACTGCTTCCCTCTCTGATGCGTTTTTCCACCGCTTAATGCATGTATATTTATGGTGGAATCAGCTTGAAAATAAATCCCAAGGGAGTGTTTTCTGGTGAAAACACTGGTACAATTTATTTGAGCCTGTTTATTCACTTTCCCAGTGGCAGGGCCTTCTGCGGTGGAAGGCGGAAAAAAAATCGTAGCGCTCCTAATCTTCCACAAGCAGCCACTAATAAAGACAGCTATCGTTGTATTCAAACGGCACAGCAATTAAACTCAACCAGTCACGATGATAATGCTTTATATATGTGGAGAACGAGATGCAACATTCTGCCTGTTATTCAGTATTAAATATTATCAAGGAGAACAAGGTGCTTTTGCTTAAAAATAAGAACTCTTAAATTTAACTCAACAGATACACATTCTACTTCACAATACAGTTCATTGATGGCAAATGAGTTGTACACAAACTGACTGAAATTGAAAAAAATACATAGTTTACTTACACTAAAAAAATTCAAAACAAAAATTGTCTGACAAAGCTGTTTTGGAACTGACAAAACTGACACTTGCTGATAATCTCAAAATAGCCAAATATCAGCAAATATATCAGTCTACTACTACTCTAAAGCATTTTACCATATTTAAATCCAAGTCTCACATTGTATGGACAAGAGGAAGTGATACATTCTGCAGAAGAAAGTCATACAGGTTTGGAACGATATGAGGGTGAGTAAAAGACAATTTCAATTTTTGGGTGAACTATCCATTTAAAATTATGCATTCTAAAAATATATAAATATTCAGCGCCTGATAAAGTACTTGAGTATTTTGATCGGTACAAAGAAAATGCAATAAAATTACACTTTTTAAGAAGTTCCAACCGATTTTCTTAATCAGTCGACGCTAGGGGTGTAACGGTACACGTATTCGTACCGAACCGTTTCGGTACGGGTCTTTCGGTTCGGTACGCATGTGAACCGAACGAATACAGTTTTTTTTTTTTTTTCTCCGGAAATTCAAATAATAAATGGCGTTTTGACAGTCTTTGATGTGGCATGACAGATCGCTGTATAAACACCTTGGAGAGCCGCTTCTGAAACGTGCTGGTATATAATCCCAACACAAGCATTGACTAGAGCAGACGCGATCAGCTCCGGTTCCCGTGTCTGAGCCGTGACGCCCCGCAGATTTGTGCAGAGCGGAGCGCGAGTGAACGCGGTCATTCCTTCCTCTGTACTACTAGTTTTAACGCGAATAAACATGACTGAACATCTGTACCGAACCGTCATATTTGTGTACCGTTACACCCCTAGTCGACGCCATTTGAATAACAGCTTCAGGTGAGCATGAGTAAATTTGATCCGGTGAGCATTGAGGAAATACAAAGTATGTAGCCAATGAGATGAAAAAGAAAATGTTAAACTATGAGCACAAACATAGCCACAGTTTGAGTGACTGCTAAAGAGAAACAGGCCCACTGTGCTCATAACACAGAATATACTTTATTTGTGTGGCTTTGGAAATATATAGATATATAAAAATGTTTACATAGAAGCTGAGGAAACAGGAGTCACCATGTGTTTCAGGTTAAATACACATTTTCGCATTAGAGAGTTTAATTGCCAAGCTTGGCGCATTCTACACAGATTAAAGAACCCCAAAAAGGCAACTCAGAAAACCACACAATGAAAACGATACACAGCCAAAAGGCTTAACACGTGTCCTTAATTTCATGCTCTGAACCTGAAAATAATTTCCCGAACTTCCCATATGGTTCTAGAAAACAGGGCCCCGCATCTCTCAAAACAAAATTTAAGATCAGCACAAAGTAGACTTTATGATTTGTTTAAGGGGCGTTTTGATGTGAAGTATACTTTATACACACTGCTGCTTTCCGGCAGGGCACTCATGACAAATGAAGCTTTTTCATTTAATCTAGAATTTGAAAGAGAACTTCAGCCATTTTTACTTGACTTAGGGCAGCTGTTGTAGATGATGACCTAAAGTGTTTTGAACAATAGATCGATGTTTTTCTGGAACTAGTGGAGGCGAGTCTCTTTAACAGCAGAGGTGAACTGGAGATTATTTGGCAATTCAGTTTATAGATGACGAACTTAAAGAGGGTGAAAACGTTGTGGTGAGTCTGCAATTCTTGCAAACTTGAGGGTGAGAGATTCATATTTTCACTTCAATTTGTTGCCAGGCCAGATGTGTTTGTATATGTTTTCCTACGGGATCCAGATGCTTCAGTAAAACACCCATGCGCTTAACAAGCTGTGGACATAAAACATGCCCTCAGTTGTGATTCCAAGGCACTTTTTGGAGCCCGTTACGAGATGATTTATCGCAATATCATAAGATACAAAGTGCGTAGAGTTTCACATTCTGAGGTATGGCAATGTGTTTTCAGCAGGCGATTTCCCTCAGATGTATTTTCTTTATAGATAATAAGCATGTGTCTTCAGAAAGGATTTGAAGGATGTATCATCATGAGCATTCTTCTGAAAGATAATGACATCATAATGCATTAAATTAGCATGTGATAAAGACAACAAAATCAGCACTGCCACAATAGATGAACAACAAAGATGACAACTTTCTGTATCTTTCTGTGCATTCCTTATTCTTTTGCTGTTGACTATTACTGTGGGTTGTGTGGCATAATTGTAAAAATAAATAAATAAATAAATACATATATAAATAAATAAATTAGCTTTTGGACAAGTCCCCTCCAATAATTAAAAGTGGCCAAACTGTCCCACCCAATATTTGAAATTCTTGCAGTGATCTGCTGCACTCCATTACTCAGCGCTCTTGTTAGGATCACAAAAAAAACTTAAAAAGTTATATTTTGAGCCTGGTCGGCCTCTGCGCTCGTCAATGTCAAAATAACTGAGATGGCCAATCAAATCAAAGTAGGCGGGGTTTACCATTCACAGAAACAGAGCGATGAAAGCATCAGTTTAATGCATATGTTTAACGTTGAAACTAGAGAGCGAGGTAAGATATGGAAGTTGCAAATTATTTAGTATTAGTCAACTGTTTTTTAATGTTAGAAATATGGCCATTTTGAGAGCGAGATAGTTGAAAGTTGTGTTTGTGAATTACCTGCATCTGTGCGTCTCTCTCTCTACAAAGCTGTGAGTTTAGTTGCTTCAAAACAGCGAATTTACTTCCTCGTTGCTGAGTAATATAAGCGATCTAGTATGCTATTTTATGAATAAAAGTCGCGGGGCAGCGTGCAAGCGTGCGGGGTTCTGTGCTCTGATTTGTGTGCGAGTAGTGTGTGTGCGCGTCAAGTGGCGCATTAATATAGCTTTTTATATATACACTGTCATTCAAAAGTTTGGGTATTAGTTAGATTTTTTTATGTTTTTTACTGGAGTCTCTTATGCTCAACAAGGCCATATTTATTTGATCAAAAATACAGAAAAAACAGTAATATTGTGAAATATTAAATATTGGTTTCCTATTTTAATATACTTTAAAATATAATTTATTTCTGTGACGCAGCGCTGAATTTTCATCAGCCATTACTGTGAAATGTCTTCTGTGTCACATGATCCTTCAGAAATCATTCTAATATGCTGATTTATTATCCGTTTTTAAACTGTTGTGCTGCTTTTTTCTTTGATTCTTTGATGAATAAAAAGTTAAAAAGAACAGCATTTATTCAAAATAGAAATCTTTTCTAACAATATAAGTCTTTACTATAACTTTTTATCCATTTAACATCCTTGCTGAATATTAATTTATTAAAAAAAAAAAAAAAAAAAAAAGAAGAAGAAAAAATTTACTGACCCCAAACTTTTGAATAGTGGGTGTATATTGTAACACAAATTTAATTTATATTTTGAATAAACACGGTTCTTTTTAACTTTTTATTTATCAATGAATCCTGAAAAAATATCACAGGTCCCAAAAAAATATGAAGCAAAACTGTGGAATATAAATCAGCATATTAGAATGATTTCTGAAGGATCATGTGACACTGAGACTGCAGTAATACTTCTGAAAATTGAGCTTTGTTTCACAGGAATAAATTATATTTTAAAGTATATTAAAATAGAAAAATTGTATTTTAAATTGCAATAAATTTTCTTTACAGTTTTTTTCTGTATTTTTGATCAAATAAATGCAGCTAAATGAAACTTCTTTAAAAAAAAACATTAAAAAACTTGCTGATCCCAAACTTTTGAACGGCAGTGTGTGTGTGTGTGTGTGTGTGTATACATTATATATATATATATATATATGTGGGTACTCTCCATAGGCGTAATGGTTTTATACTGTACAAACCGTATATTCTATCACCCTACACCAAGACTACACATAAACCTACCACTCACAGAAAACTTTCTGCATTTTTACATTATATATATATATATATAAACTTGGTCCCCCCCAATGTTCAAGACATGGTTACGGCCTTGCACACACACACACACACACACACACACACACATTAATTTTTAATTGTTTAATATTTAAAAAATATTTGTTTATTTTATAGAAAATTAATCCATCCATTAATTTAGCTTTTAAGCTTATTTTCTCAAAAGTGAAAACCAATCATTTTTAACCAATAAAAATGACAATATATTCGACATATTTACTACTAATTACTATATAATCTATATATTTACTACTTCAAATAACTAATAATATATATTCTTCTAATAAATATATTTGTTTTATATTTAAAAACATTTTAGTTTATATTACAGTAAAATTATTTATATTTATATATTACTACTTATATATTTATATATATTAACACTTTTAACCTGTGATTTACTGTTTATGTGCTGCCACATATGATGGGAAATCCTCCATCACACAACCCTGCAGCTTCATAAACCAGCTAAATTTAAAAGCTATTAATTATGAACAACATACAAAACATATACAAACTAACTATACAGGCAACATTCCCTTTTCAATAATTATTTATGAACAATAAACGTTTCCTTCGTAATTCTTTAATTGCCAGGCCTCTAAGTTGGGGCTCAAAGGAAATACTACTGGTCCATCTTTTCTAGTTGCAGTATGGGTGGGGGTTAAATGAGGTTTCAGCCCAGATGAAATTAGCAGAAAGCAAATGACAGATACAGGAGAGATCAGGAGGGGGTGTCAGCGTGGGTTCACGTCCTGTCCCTGGATGGCTTGCTTGAGCATTCTGGAGATGGCCGTACACGTTCTTTATGGAGCTCCTATGACATGCCTTGTCCTGCTGATGCACATTTTTCTCTTCTGAGCGGCATATGAGTTCTGTCACCAGTAATATTTACATCAGGGTGAGGCATCAGTCTCAGTGTCACTGAAAAATGCCCTGTGTTGTTTTAAACTCAAAGTGGCCTTGTTTTATAGAGGTTGCGCCCCTGAAACCGAGTGCCACAAAGGGCCTTAGGAAAATGCACACTGAAGGCTGCATTTAAACTCAACAGATCAACAAACCAGTGAAGACTATTCATAATATCTCTTGAGAGAAATGACATAACCAGGGAGGAATGCAACCATTATAGATAACCAAATTCCTTTAGTTTTTTTTTAGCTGCACTCTCTATATCTAAGGTATTTCAGAGGATGAACAGCAAATTCTACATTTCTGACCTGTTGATTACGCAGTTTAACAGTGCTTATGTAATGTACATGGAATTATGTACTCTGATGATGTCTATACAACAAAAAAACACAGACAGGAAAAAAATGTTTTCGGCTCTCACATGCACCATAGAGGATTCAGGTCACATTCTTTCCTTACATATAGTCTGTAACGACAGGAACGCCAGAAACTGGAGGAATGTTCAGATTGTATTATTTTTTTTTTTCAGTCACTTCTGTTGAATCAAACCAAAATGTTGCTTTGTCTCCCCATATGGAAACTTACTGCAACTACAGCACTACTTGACAAACTGTAAAGGGTTAGCTCACCCAAAACAAAACAGAGATGTCATTTAGTCACCCTCATTCTGTTCCAAATCCTTTTTACATTTAACAAATGTAGATACAACAGGCTTTATGTGAGAAGAACAGGCCTAAAGGTGTTATTTACTGGATACTTTGCCCTCTGCTGCATCTCTCAAATCTCATTTGCACTTACATTTAATAAAAAAATTAACAAACCAGGTTTAACATCAATGATGTCAAATGACACACGTTTTTGTGTCTAATTGTCGTCAAACCTAATTCAACATTCCTGCATGTTATTTGAATTTAAAGGGGTGGTTCACTGTTTTTTTTCTAGGCTTGATTGTGTTTATGGGGTGCAGTTCTCTGAGAAACGCGCTGATTATTTCCTGCTTTTATGAAGCCCCACCCTCAGAAGTAGGCGATGGGCTCGGATTGGTTAGCTAGCCCAGTGTGTTGTGATTGGCTAAAACGCCTCTAGTGCGCGCGTGAAACCGGTATAATTTTGAAAAATACCGTGATATAAATTTTTGGTCATACCGCCCAGCACTAGCTCCGGTTGTATTGTAAACAGCGGCATTGTTAATATCACTTATCAGTTTGAGCCCGATTGAGAAGCAGAGGATATTATTGAAGAGGATCACGCAGAACCTGTGCAAGGCTTTTAATGGTAGGCCTATGTTTTTTGTTTGTTGTTGTCTCATACTTTTAGATACGCAGTTATTTGTAAATGCTACTGCTAATGTTAGCTTTTAATATACGGTTTTATCCTGATTAAAGCTTTAATACAGCACGGCAATCGCATCCATGTTTAACGCTTCTCATAGCTATGTGAAAATATCTGTCTGTCTATACGCATAAAGTGTATAATTTGAACAGTTCATTGTTGGAGCTGAGCTGGTGAGCTGATGATCTGAATGAGAGAGAGAGATGCAGAGCGTGTGCAGAGCAGGGGGACGCGAGGAACAGGATTAAGAACCGCTGCTTTAGAACACTGATTTTGAATCCATTAGAATCGTTAGAAGACAGAATCGCGATTCATATATAAATAGATTTTTACGTGCACCTCTAGTTTTCTCTTCCTCTTCTCGAAAGCAGCGCAGCATGGCCTCGCCCCCTTTTCTGCCCTTTCCCGGGGGCAGGGTTTATCTGGGTTTGTTACGTCACGACCCCGTAACTTGTTGTAGTCCCTACCAGCCGTTTTTGTAGGCATTAAACTGCCAGAATTGTAAAAGACGATATCTCT